TTAACTGGGGTGGCTCACTTACAGTTTCAGAATACAGTTCATTATTATGGTACAGAGCATGGCATCGTGCAGGCAGACGTGGTGCTGGAGACGTAGCTGAGAGTCCTACATCTTGCAGGCAAAGGAAGTGAACTGAGACACTGGGCAGTATCCTGAGCATAGGAAACCTCAGAGCCCACCTCCACAGTGACACATTTCCTCCAACAAGGCCACACCTATTCCAACAAAGCCACACCTCCTAATAGTGCCACTCCCTATAGGATCATGAGGGCCAGTTACACCACATACCTGACTCATTTAATTTTATTCTTTCATTTTTATCAGTATTCCATATTACAAGCTATATTTTCACTTATTGCTTTATAGCATAGATTTCATTATTAATCACATTTGGAGGGTTGTGGATTTTATTTAAAGATTTATTTATTTGCAGTACAGTACATGCAGAAGCCAGAAGAGGGCGTCAAATCCTCTGGATTGGAGTTACCGACCGACCATTCTTAGCTGCAATTTGGTTGCTAGCAATCAAACCTGCGTTCTCTGGAAGAGTAATAAGTTTTTCTGTTGGCTTAGCAGCCACACCTGAATCTGCTGATATTTTAATTACTATCTGCACCCCATGGCCCCACAGTCAGGATCCAGATGCTCAGACCTCTGCCTAGCAGGATTTCCAGTCCCACCAGTGGTGGCACCGACTCAGCCCCAGTCACCAAATGTAGGTTTTCACTAAGTCTCTACAGTTCTATTTTCTAATAAAGACTTGAGAGTTAGATGTTGGAGTGAAAACCTGTTAGATCAGAGACACCAAGAGAAAACCAACTGACCTTCTTTTTTGGCCAGAGACCAAAGGAGAATCGTTTCTCTACTTGTCCCAAACCAAAAAAGGCAGATAATCTCTAAATCCCTCCCTACTCCTTCCTGAGTGTCTCTCTGTACCTGTTCCTGGCTCCTCCATCCTCTTGATGGCTAATTCCTGTTTGATCCAATGGGGTTTTTGGTTTTTTGTTTTTTGAGACAGGGTTTCTCTGTGGCTTTGGAGACTGTCCTAGAACTAGCTCTTGTAGACCAGGCTGGTCTCAAACTCACAGAGATCCTCCTGCCTCTGCCTCCCAGGTGCTGGCATTAAAGGCATGCACCACCAATGCTGGGCTGTTTAATCCAATGTTAATTTTATTAGCAGCCTCAAAGTTTCACAGTGCAACCAAGTATCCTGCAACAACCAAGTCATCTCTCCAATTCTGATTTTGTTGTTTTCTTTTGTTCTGTTCTATTCTGTTTTGTTTTATTTGAGACAGGATCTCACTATGTAGCCCTGGCTGTCCTGGAACTCTGTAGACCAGGTTGGTCTCAAACTCATGGAGATCCACCTATCTCTGCCTCTCAAGTGCTGGGGTTGAAAGCATGTGCCACCATGCCTGGGACTTGATTTTTTTTAAATCTATCTTGTCTTAGGAGTTTAATAGAAAGTTTTTCTCCAAATTGGAATTTTTAAAAGGGGAAGGGAGGTGGAACCAGTGGCTCCTTGGAAGCTTAATGGCCAGTCCCTGTCTCAAAGAAAAAGTAAAGACATCTGAGAAATGCTATCCAAGATAGTCCTGACCTACACACACACACACACACACACACACACACACACACACACACACACACACAGAGGCATACACACATGCACGCACACACACACACACACACACATGCACGCACAAACGCACACGCCAAGTGGAACATTCAATATACATTTAGGTCTACTTTGTAGAAACAACCTCCATGTAGTTTTCTCTTTGGCCTTGAGTAAGCGAGTGTGTTAAACTCTGTTATTTCCAGCTGTCTGTTTCCCCTGCTGCTGTTACACAAATGCAGCATGCTTTGACCAGCCAGGCACAGCTAATGGGGAAGGAAGATAGGACGCAGGACTCCGGCATAGGCAGAAGATTCAGGAAGGTTATTTCAAGCTGACAGCCCGGCTGAGTCCGTGGCATTAGTGATTAGCATATCACTGTTGTGGAGTGGGGTCTTTGGCACCATGGTGTCCCTCTTTCTGTTTCTTGGAGAACTCCATGCTCCTCGAGATGGATATTGTGATCTCTGCTTCCTGTGGTTTCTGTGTTTGGACTGTTGCTGCCCACTCCTTTCTTCCGTCGTTCCAAACCACTAATTTTATGTGTGTCTCTTCCAAACATGTCTGGAACACGATGGTTTGTCAGCTGCTTGGACATTCTTTCTCTTTTAGTAGGTGGAGTAAGGGCTCTCACATTTAACTGACTGGGCCTGTGCTAGAATTTCTGTTGACTGTGTGTACTAGTCACAACTACCATGCACTGCTTGTTATGTGATGTGACCTTTTCTCTGAACACTGAGGCGATTTTCACTTTTACATGTATTCATTCATTCATTCATTGTGAATATGTGAGATTCTCCATGTGCCAGGGCACCTGTGTGAGGTCACAGATGTGTGGCAGTCAGTGCTCCCCTGTCATGTGGGACCCAGGGATGGAATCAGGTAACAGAGCCTGGCAGCAAACACCTTTACCCACTGATCCATCTCCCTGTGCCAAGATCTGCATTTTTATTACTTTTAAAAAGACTTTTATTATACCGATTATACTGTTTTTATTAATACTAATGCCTTTGATATTACAAAGTAGTTTTATTGTCAGTTAGCCTTTTTCATTATTTAAGCTCTAGTGTTTGTTCTGCAATTTATTTATTTATTTATTTATTTATTTATTTATTTATTTATTTTGAGACGGGGCTTCTCTGTGCAGCCTTGGCTGTCTTAAAGCTGGCTCTGTAGACCAGGCAGGCCTGGAACTCACAGTGATCTGCCTGCCTCTGCTGGGATTAATGTCGAGTGCCACCAGCACCCAGATCATTTTAAGTATTTTTGACTCCTCAAAATTGCATACACAAGTGATCTCTTTGTACTTTTCTCCTTTTCGAGCTCTTCTCTCCTCTCCTGTCCTGGATGGCTTCAGCTGTCAATCTGACACAGTCCAGAGTCATTTGAGGGACTCCCAACTGAAGGACTGTCCAGATCAGATCGGGCATGTCTGTGAGAGACTGTCTTGATGGATGGTTGATGTGGGCAGGACTGGCCTACTGTGGGTGGCATCAGGACTGGCCTACTGTGGGTGGCGTCAGGACTGGCCTACTGTGGGTGGCATCAGGACTGGCCTACTGTGGGTGGCATCAGGACTGGCCTACTGTGGGTGGCATCATTCCTAGGCCTGTGTGCCTGGGCTGTTTAAGAAATGTAGCTGAGTGTGAGTCTGTGGCTGATGGGGCCAGGAGCAGCGTCCCCCCATGGTTTCCTCGACAGTTCCTGCCCCACTTCCCCCAGAAACCACTGTGACCTGGAACTGTAAAATAAAATTAACCCCCTACTCCACCAAGTTGCCTTTGATCATGGTGTCTATCACAGCAACAGAAAGCAAATGAGGACATGTCTTCTTCCTGTGCTAGAGGGTAACCTGATCTAAGCGGGGCCATTTGACAGTCTCCTATGTCAGCACTCACCTGTCCTGCTCAGCTTCCCCCATCATCTGACAGCTGTTTTTTAGAAGACCGCTGAGAGGCTTTGAGTAAACCTTAGCTCTGGCATGACTAAGACATTTTTCTCTATCCTGGACACTTGCATATCTTAGCCAGGTACACTTCTGTTTTCATTTTCTTACATGGTGTGTGGCGAGGGAGGCATGCACATTGCCACAGCATGTGTCTGGAGGTCAAAGGACAACTTGCTGGAGAGTGGGTTCTCTCCTTCCGCCATGTGGGTTCTGGGGATTGGACTCAGATCACCAGTCTTGGCAGCAAGCCCCTTTACCCACTGAGCCATCTCAGTGGTCCTTATTTTTCTTAGTCCTTTGAAAATGTTCCAGGGCTAGGCCGGCCATTGGTGGCTCGTGCCTTTAATCCCAGCATTCTGCAGGCAGATCTCCATGAGTTGAAGGCCAGCCTGGTCTACAGAGCAAGTGCCAGGATAGGCTCTGAAGCTAAACAGAGAAACCCTGTCTTGAAAAAAAAAAGGGGGGGGATGTTCCAGGGCACATGGGTGCTCAGTGACCTTTCCTAGTTTTGCTGTGGATTCTGGTGTGGCCTGTGGCCTTGGTCTTGCCAAGATGCTACTAAGTCTTAATGTTGCCATGAAACCCCGCTATAGCCAGGTTTACTAGGAAATTTGGGTAAGTGTGGGACTAATGACCTTCATCCATTATAAAAACAGCAGTGATGAAAAAAGCAGTAAAGCTGCTCCTGGCTTCACCTGCCCAGGGCCATCACTAACCTCTCCACGTCCACTCAAGATGAACATGTTGGCTAAACTTAGCCCAGCTGTGTTAGATGAGAATACACAACATTGTTATACACTCGTCTAAGATACACCATGGAAAAGAAAATTTCATTCCATTGCTGTCTTCTTTGCTGAGAAATCTGACACCAGCCTGATCTTTCTCTTGTAAGAGAAGGCATCTTTTGGTCTTAACAAATTTTACTTTTTAACTTCAACATATAAAATGTTTTATTACACAGTGTGAGTTGGAATGTTGTGTTAGCTTTTTTTTTTTAACCTTTTATTTTGTATGTATGGCTGTTTCTCCTGCTTGTATGTCTGTGCCTCACATGGAGTACAGAAGAGGCCATCAGATGCCTAGGGCTGGAGTTACAGGTGGTTGTGAGCAGCCCTGTAGGTGCTAGGAATCAAACCAGGTTCTCTGGAAGAACAGCCAGTGCCCTGAACCATCTCTCTGGCATCCCCCCTCCCAGTTTATTGTTTTGTGGTCCAAGAAAGCCTTTTTGATGCTAGAGACAAAAATCTTGAAATACTGCTAGAACACATCTAAATTACAAGGCAGACTCTTTCAAAACAGCGTGTGTGAGGCTGGCAGTGCATCTCAGTAAGAGGGGGCTTGCCCAGCATCTTCAGGGTTATAATTCAAGGCCCAGCACTGCTAAAAGGGGGAAGGAGATGGGGAGGGAAGAAAGGAAGGAGGAGGAGAGGTTGATTTGGGGTGTTTTCAAAATTTGTTTTTATTTTGGGTAGTTTCAATTAGCAACAGGGATCTAGTCTTTTGTCGTTGAGAGGTCTAAATTCTACCTGTGTTCTTTTTCCTCTCCCTTCTTTTCTGGTACCTCCATGACTTCCTGCCATATCTGCCTCCTCTTTGATGTGTTCTAAGACAGTCCCTGCGATCTGTCAGGAAGCTGTTCTTTTGTTTAGTCACTCTCTTCCCCCATAAGCTTGCCTTGTCTCCATTTGAAGTTGTTTCTAATTTGTCACCCATGGTGCCCTTTTTTCCTTTTGCAGCCATCTGATTTATTGTAAGAAAGATCTACGTTGGAATGCCATCTTAGTTTAGTGCTTTGTGGTCCCAATGCTGTTGCTTAGGGTTTGTAAAGTCTAACAAGAGGCAGCCCAGCAGCATCTCCTTCTGAAGCTTGGTTTGCAGTGGCGATGACGGCTGCCTGCAGCTTCTTTGCCCGTCACACACACGGAGCCTTCCTTCTCTTCCAGGTGAAAGATGCTCTGTCCTTTGGGCCTCCCAGCAGCCACTGCTCTGATCCACATGACCTTGCCAGTGTACCAGATCCAGTGGTCTAGTTTAAAACAAGTCCTGAGTTGGATGCAGCCTGTGGCAGAGGAAAACCCTGGCTGGGGATGGGTGGTGGCCGGACTGAGATCACAGGGGGCTTATCTGAGCCAGGGGCAGAGGAGTCTAAAGTAAAAGGGTGTGAAGAGGACAGAGGGAGGGCTCAGCCTCTGTACAAATGTAATAAGATGTGTGCAAGGAAGAGCAAACAAAAAGGAAATCCAGGCTGGGGGTGTGGCTCATCTGGTAAATTGTTTGCCTTGCATGCAAGCAGGCAGGCATGCACGCACGTGACTAGGGGATTTCCCTGCTCTACCTGCATAAGCTAGGTGTGGTGGCTCAAGCCTTTAATCCCAGCACTTGGCAGATAGTGGCAGGAAAATCAGAAGTTTAAGGTCACCTTCAGCTGCAAAGAAAGTTTGAGGGCAGCCTGGGCTATGGGAGACCTTGGTTGAAAAAAAAAAAAAAAAAAAAAAAAAAAAAAAAAAATCCAGAATTTCTCAAAGAGAAACACGCAATTTTGCCATCATGTGAGCTACAATGAAACAGGGGTGAACCCTAAAGTGTTTAGCCTGGGCAATGCCCAGCCAGGTGGCCTGGTCAGCCCCTGTCAGGTATAGACAGAGCTGGGGGAGGAAACAGGAAGGATATTTACCAGGCCAAGGTGGTCACCTTAAGTGGGAAGTTATACCAGGTAGGGAAGGGGAGGGAAGGATGAAGGAAAGGAGAGATGGGCAGACAGGAGAGGACCCTGGGAAGGCACCTAGAGAAACAGGAGGGTGGAAACAGCTGGGGGTGTGGGAGATAAAGTCTGGTTTGCAGGGAAGGATGGAGGGAGTGGTCTCAGTGTGGGGTGAGGACCAAGGAGGGGTCAGTCAGGGAGAAGGCTGTCCCCTGTTCTGCTGTGTTTGGTCCTGAAAGAGAGCTTGCTTTTTGCCTTGTGAGTGTTCTGTGTGTGTGTGTGTGTGTTTGTGTGTGTGTGTGTGTGTGTGTGTGTGTGTGTGTGTGTGTATGATCATCTCTGGTGGCCATACTGTGTTTTCCTGCCTCTTGGAATGGAAGACAGAAAGAAGGTTGCTGTCCATCCTGGGACATGGGAAGCCCACATGTCTCCAGGGAGTCGTGGCCAGCTTCAGGATGGTCCAGGACAGGACAGCGCAGGAGCTGCTCAGAACAAGGAAGACGGCAAGTGCCACTGAGGAGTCTGGGCAGGCAGGAGGCAGCAGCTGCCAGGGCACACAAACTTCATTCCAGAGGCCTCCGGGCCTGAGACAGGATTCTCTGTTCAAGCTCAGCATACCGGGGGAGAAGGGCTTCATAGACCTGGAGGGACAGAAAGAGCAGTTTATAATGTGGAGGAGAAGCGCCACTCACATCAGCTTGCAGCTTGAGATTTAAAAATGTCAATTCTGGGGCTGGAGAGATGGCTCAGCAGTTAAGAGCACTGACTCTTCTTCCAGAGGTTCTGAGTGCAATTCCCGGCAACCACATGGTGGCTCACAACCACCTTGAATGAGATCTGGTGCCCTCTGCTGGCATGCAGGCAGGAGACTGTATACATAATAAATAAATAAATAAATAAATAAATAAATCTTTTTTAAAAAATGTCAATTCTGAGCCAACTACCATGGCGCACACCTTTAGTCCCAGCACTCAGAAGGCAGAGGCAGGCAGATCTCTGAGTTCAAGGCCAACCTGGCAGGACTGTTACACAGAGAAACCCTGTCTCAAAAACCCAAAAAAGAAAAAAGAAAAAAAAGTAAATTCCAAGTCTGGAGAGATACCCCCAGTAGTTTAGAGCACTCGCTGCCCTTACAAAGGACCCAGGTTTGAGTCTCAGCACCCACATAGCAAGCAACTCACTCTGGTCTGTAACTCCAGTTCCAGGGGATCTGACACCCCCTTCCAGCCTCCAGGCACCAAGAATGCACATGATGCATAAATATGCATGTAGACAAAACACTCAGACACATAAAATAAATAAAATTTAAATAAAAAATACATATGTTTATAAAACTTACTCCAAATTTTCAAAACCTTGTGCAAAACCAAAGTGATCTACAACATCAGTAATTTCTTATCTTAGCAGCTATGTGCTAAAATGATGATAATTTGTACACATTAGATTAAGTGAGATGTATTATTAAAATTAATCTTGTTTCTATTTTCGCTTTTGAAAACTGAGGAGTTGGACAGATGGTGCAGTAATTAAGAGCATGCTTTATCCTTGCAGAGGACGCAGGTTCAGTTCCCAGCACCCTTGGTGTCTGTGTAAACCGAGGATGTAGTTACACAGCCAAGTGCATGCTTCCCCTGGGTAAAACCCTAGGACCAATCCCCAAGCACTTGGGAGTGGGGGAGGGGGTGAGTAAGATTTCCCTCTAGTTGGGTATAGCAGGTAGATGTAGATGAGAAAGATAAACTTAGCTTTTAAAGAAAAGAAGGAAGACCCAAGCCAGACTGAGAAGGCAAATGCTAAGAGAAAATCCGATGGCTTCTCACCTGGGAAGCTCCTGGGCTGGGAGTGGCAGCCAGGCTGGGACGAGGGGCTGATTTCGCAACCTCTGAAAAGGCCACACCTGCTCCTCCTGCAAGACCTAGAGGGGAAAGGTCATCTCACATCCGTGCGCACTACAATCGAGGCTAACTGACTTATGAGACACACACTGCTATGTCGATAAACACTGTCAGACCAGGAGGGCCTGGGAGTGCAGCTCAGTGGCTGGCAGGGGCCGCCTCAGCTCAGGGGCAGGGGCTGCCTCAGCACGCAAAGGCCCCAGCTATCACCCAACACCAGAACGGGACAACTCGAAATGTGCTAACCCGGATTAGCCCTTCTCGGAAGAGTTATTAAAAGACACTGACGAGAAAAAAAAAAAAAAAAAAAAAAAAAAAAAAACTGCTAAAAATACTTGCCTATTAGAAAATGTCAAGTTCAAAGCCCACCTGGAATCTAGAGTGAACTGTGAACTAAAAGTCAACCTGGACAATTCTGTGAGACCTCATCTCAAAACAAAAATTATGAGAGAGGAAGCACGTGCTCGAGAGAGACAGACAGACAAGAGACAGAGAGACAGAGAGGGACGGACACTTGTGCTTTAGTTTACCAAGCGGACAATCACAAGGGGCCTTGGGTTCAAGCCCCAGTATGGGGTAAGAAGTATGAATTTGGAAGTCAGTTCCCCAATGATCTTGCTACATGAGGCTGCATGAGGTGACGGAGAGAGAGGAATGGGGTAAAGGTTCATTATTAAGAGAACAGCACTGCATTCATTGCTGCGTTGAAAGAAACCCCAAGTTGAAGTCGGTGTGTTGAGAAGTGAAAAGTGAACAGGGAAAGAAAGAGCTCCTGGGGGGACGGGGAGCCCCAGGTGAATCTGACACCCAGGGGATCCCTAGCAAACAGACGACAGGGGGAAACAACCTAACTGAGGGGTCTAACCTTAACCCTAACTCTGTCTTCCAGAAATGTCTCAAGTTTCAGGCAGACCGCCATTAGAGCCACAGCCTCTGGGGAGCTGTCCACGGTTCTGGACTTCTTGGCTCTGAGGCCTTCACGAATGTCTCAGGTTTTTACTGTTCCGGGCGTTATCCGCAGCCACTGCCTTCCTCTGCAGCCACTGTCTTCCTCTCCACTAGCTGAACAGACTTATATCCTTGTCCTGTGATGGTCTTTCCGGTCTCTCTCTGCAGAGCCCGACTCTGATCAGACCTCACCCAGTTTCAATCCTCCTTCCCTCCCTCCACTCTAACTAGAGAATACAAGACAAAGGGTTTGGGTTCATTCTTGACTACTGGGAGGGATAGAAATGAGGCTGACACTCCCAAGACTCCAGCGTCCTCAAACTGGGAATGCCATCTGTAGTGGTTTGAAAGAAAATGGACTCCGAAAGGAGTGGCACTATTACAAGGTGTGGTCTTGTTGGAGGAAGTGTGTCACCGTGGAGGCGGGCTTTGAGGTCTCATATGCTCAAGATACCGCCCAGTGTCTCAGACCACTTCCTGTTGCCTGCAAGATGTAGGACTCTCAGCTCCTTCTCCAGCACCACGTCTGCCTGCACGCCGCCCACCATGATGATAACGGACTGGACCTCTGAAACTGTAAACTGCCACCCCAGTTAAGTGTTTTCCTTGTAAGAGTTGCTGTGGTCATGGTGTCTCTTCACAGCAATAGAAACCTGACTAAGACACTGCCCTTCCCCCTTCCCACTCTTCTCATCCTAGTGGTGCCTAAACACTCCCAGAAACAGCCATACCCCATTCATCAACCTACCATGAAAAGCTCGGTATGCAGAGCCCACGCAGGCTGAGCTGCTGGTGTCCATGACATATACAGGGGCCCCAAAGACATCTGCGAGCACCTGGGAGGGACACAGAGGTTACTCGGGGTGAGTGGTCACTCAGGTCATCAAGAACCTTCTAGGCCCTCCTTCCTCGTGGCTTCTGATACCTTCCATTCAGTCACAGCTGCCTTAAGTAAGCTTAGCGTGTGGAGCTGGTGATGACACACGGTGACCAGTTTACAGCTCTCCCCGTACCTTTTAAAAAACAAGATCCTACCCTATAGCTCCAGGTCAGCCTGAAATTTACTATGTAACCCAAGCTAATCTCAAACCCATCATCTTCCTGCTTCAGCCTCCTGAGTGAGGGGATTGCAAGCATGTACCAACACGCCCTATAGTTTTGTTTTTTATTTTTCTTATTTTTTATTTTTTTAATGATTTATTTATTTATCATGTATAAAGTGCGTGCCAACAGAGGGCATCAGATCTCATTACAGATGGTTGTGAGCCACCATGTGGTTGCTGGGAATTGAACTCAGAACCTCTGGAAGAAAAACCAGTGCTCTTAACCCCTGACCATCTCTCCAGCCCTTGTTTTTTTTTTTTTTTTTACGACTCCATTTTACTGTGTAACCCCGGATGGTGTAGAAATCACTATTTAGACCAAGCTGGCCTAGAACTCACAGATCCACCTGCTGCTGTCTCCTGAGTGTGTATGTGTGCGTGCATGTGCACATGTGTGTGCATGCGTGTGTGCGAACTTGTGCATGTGTAAGCACTCATTCGTGGGGGGATGGGAGGAGAAATTGTGCTGTGTGCCAGAGGCTAACGTCGGGCGTCTTGGTTTGAGAAGGGATCTTTAATTTGGCCGCCAGTTCACAAATTGGCTAGATTGGCTGGCCAGCACTCCCAGAGACCTTCCTGTCTCCACTCCCCCAGTGCTGGGATTACAGGCACACACAACCAAGGCTGACTGTTTTTATGGAATCCAGTTCCTCATGTCTGCATGGCAATCACTTTACCAGCTGAGTCACCTCCATTCCTGTCCTATACTTTTAGACTATTTATGTAATTGTTTTGTTTTGTTTTTTGTCAACTTGACACAAGTTAGAGTTATCTGAAAAGAGGGAAACATGGTTGAGAAAATCCTCCATAAGATTAGCTTGGCCGGGCATTGGTGGCGCATGACTTTAATCCTAGCACTCGGGAGGCAGAGGCAGGTGGATCTCTGTGAGTTCGAGGCCAGCCTGGTCTACAGAGTTAGTGTCAGGATAGGCTCCAAAGCTACACAGAGAAACCCTAAAAAAAAAAAAAAAAAAAAAAAAAAAAAAAAAAAAAAAAGATTAGCTTGTAGACAAGCCTGTGGGCACTTTCTTTTTTTTCTTTTTCTTTTCTTTTTCTTTTTTTTTTTTTTGAGACAGGGTTTCTTTGTGTAGCTTTGGAGCCTATTCTGGCACTCGCTCTGGAGACCAGGCTGGCCTCGAACTCACAGAGATCCACCAACGCCCGGGTTGGCACTTTCTTAATTAGTGATTGATGGGGGAGGAGAGGGCCCAGCCTATTGTGGGTGGGGCCGCCCTTGGGCTGGTGGTCCTGGGTTCTATAAGAAAGCAGGCTGAGCAAGCCATGAGGAACAAGCAGCTCCATGGCTTCTTCTTCAGCTCCTGTCTGCCATTCCTGACATCCCTCAAGGATGGACTTATAAGGTGAAGTAAACCCTTTTCTACCCAAGTTGCTTTTTCTCATGGTGTTTTTTTACAGCAATGTAAACCCTAACTTTGATCATTTGTTTTCAGTGTCACAAGACGGATGGATGGATGGATGGATGGATGGATGGATGGATGGATGGACGGCTGAGAAGATGACTCATTCCGTAAAGAGCTTACTACATATGCATAAGAACCTGACTTTAAGCCCCTAGAAACCCACGTAAAAGGTGGGAAAAAGCTGATGGTATAGTGTGTGACTGTAATCCCAGGCCCAGGAAAGCAAATCCCTGGGGCTTGCCAGCTCACAGGTCCAACCAGTGAGCTCCAGGTTCAGTGAGAGTCTTTGTTCCCCAAATCAGGTGAAGAGTGAGTAAGGAAGGCAATGTCAAGGAAGATGTGGTGGTGGCCACCACACGTACCTGTAAGATGTCTTTATTGTGAGATGCTCCTCCTGTGGCCAGAATTTTTGTTTTGGGCACTACAAAACAAAAGATGAAACAGAACTGAGATAGTTGTAACAACTCTCCCAAGACAAAAAGGACTGTCCTTCAGCCATGGATGGCTTGTGGTAGGTCTGTGGCTCCTGCTGATCTCCCAGGGCTGTGGAGAGACCCAAAGTTTGGCTTGTCCACGAAATGCTCCTCGTATGTAATCTACAGTCCATCTGCCTTTATTGTCTTTATCAACTAAAAAAATGAAAGAATTTGGGGTTGGGGATGTAGCTCAGCTGGGAGAGTGTTTGCCTAGCAAACACAAGGCTCTGAGTTTAACCATAAGTATCCCACTTTGCTCCACCACTACCCCCCAAAAAAATAGAAAAAGGAAAAAAAATCTCCCAACATATCAATAATAGAATGGAATTTTCTTCAATTGATAAGGGCCTCATATTCAAGCCTTACAAAAAGCCTTGATGGTTTTTTTCTTTTGCTCTTTAGAGAGGGTTTATTTCATTTTGTGTGTGTGTGTGTAGTGTTTGCGTGGGAGCAAATACAGAAACTGAGTAAAAGTGACTGGCCCCACGCTGATAATCCCTGAAGGAAGGAAAGGTCACAGAGTTTGTATGAGAGTCGACTGTATTATCCTCACGGCTGACAAACACTTGCAATTGTGTGTGTGTGTGTGTCGTGGATGGGG